CCGACAAATTAAGGGATTGTAAAACAAAGTGCAGGTTGGGCAGAAAGAAAGGAACCTAATTGTTGTTGGGACATTTCATTGTCCAGCCGCACGGTTCCTACTGTGGCTGGGCATCCTCGTTTTCCTAAACAAATATTCTCCTAGTCTTGACTATGCCTCGATTTTGCTTTTTGGGACAGTTTCCGACTTTGTGGCCTTCTCTACCGCAATACAAGCATAAATTTTCTTCTATACGTCGCTTTTTTTCTTCTATAGTAAGAGATTTGATACGTATCGCATCAATTTGCATGTCTTCCACCTCTGAATGCGAATTCACACCGCTTGTCGACATAGTTGGAGCATGGCAAATTGTATGTTGTCTTGAGCGTTGGTCTTGGCGACGTTGGAATAGGCGATTATCGCACTTCACAGCTTGGCTAATGGCTTCATTGAGCGTTCGTGGATCAGGAAGAGTTAACAGCAAATCCTTCACATCATCTCTTAAACCCCAATAGAATTGACTCATCAACGCTTTTTCATCCCAATTGATGTCGCATACTAATTGCCTGAAATCCGAAGCATAGATTGATGTAGAACGCATCCCTTATCATAGCGACCGGATCTTTGTTGTAGCCCATCGAACCTTATCGTGTTCACCAAATGCTTCCGCAAATGCTTCCAAAAAGGTTTCGAAGTTGTTTAATATGGATGATCGTTTCTCAAACAAAGGAGCAAACCATGATAGGGCTTATCCCGTAAGTAAGGTTCCAACAAGCCCAACACGTGACTCCTCCGTTGGATATCGTTCGGGCTGTAAAACTGTTATCAACCTGATTTGATTGACGAATCCTCGAAACTTGGAACGTGTTCCATCAAACTTATTTGGAAGGCTAACTCGAGGCTCCTTATGTTATAGAACTAATGGTTCTTGTCGAACCTGAGGTAAAGTTGTTTCTCCAAGTGCCAAAATTTGAGGCTGGTGTAGTTTAGATTGTGCTATCCCAGATACTCCATTATTATGAAGCCTTGCCACTACTCCTTCAATCTCTGCAGTTCTTTGTGATAATGTAGCGAGGGCATTCATAATAGCATCTAACTTAGACTCCGAACTTTCTATCATACTAATGTCTTGACCTCCAGCCATTCTAAAAGAAGGACAAAAATGACCCTATAAGAGACAATATTGGTTTATAGGAGGGTAATCCACAACCTATAAAATGCCTTAAGAATTTCAAGAAGAGGGGTAATCCACTCTCTCCAAGAAGAATAAGACTCCAATATTGTAACAGAAGAAGTATCAATTTAGAGGAGGGTAATCCGCAACCTCTAAAAAAATGCTAGTATACCTTCAAGTAGAGGGGTAATCCACACTCTACTAAGAAAGAACTAGCTCTGATATCTCAAGTTAGTGTAGTCTCGACAAACTGTCACGGACACAAAATACAGACTTGAAATCTAACAAGAAGTTCAAGAAGAAGTGGCAGAACTAGATTAAACAGATGAGTACAAGAACAACACCAGAATGGTGAGCTAGAACTCCAAGAGATTTGTTGTCGAGACTGAAGAACTCTTCAGCCTCGATCCCTATATATACTCCTACTTAGGAAGCTTCTCGAGCTACTTCTATTAACTAAGAAGCTTCTAGAAGGTTCCAGAGGCTTCTTTTCTAGAAGGTTCTAGAAACTTCTCGAGCTACTTCTATTAACTAGGAAGCTTCTAGAAAGTTCCAAGGGATTCCTTTCTAGAAGCTTCTAGAAACTTCTCTCTAAAAGGTTTTAGAGGCTTCTCTTCTAGAAGGTTCCAGAGGCTTATTTTCTAGAAGGTTCTAGAAACTTCTCTCTAGAAAGTTCTAAGGAATATGTCCCTAACAGCAATAGATGTTATCAATGAAAAGCTTAATTATTTCTTTACTTGTAATAGATTTTTTACATGATATAAAATATGCCATTTTAGTGAATTGATCTACTATCACAAATCTAGAATCATAAGAATCTAAAATTAGAATATTTATAATAAAATTCATAAAAACTATAGACTATGATTATTTTAAAATAGATAATGGCTCAAGAAGTTTATAAAAGTAATGACAAGGAGTTTTTTTTATCTTGAAGAAATATTACATGATTTTGCAAAGTCTTTGACTACCTTCTATATTTGAAGTCATCTAAAATCTTTGAATTTTAGCTTGTAAGTCTTCTTCTATTCAAAATATCTTGTTGTTGAAATGTCATAACAAGCTTGAAGAACATATAATCATGCTCCATTTTCTAGAATATATAAGAGTCCTTTAAAAGAGAGTAGATTATTTTTGAAGCTAAACTTAGAAGTATCATGAGACTTTGAAGAATTATTCTTAATATTATAAATAAGAAGATAGATGATATATTTAATTGAATTTACTTAAAAAAGATTGAATCAATAATTATTGTTGATTTCATTACTCAAAGATGAAAATATTTTGATTTCAAAAAAAATGAGACAATAAACTTTTTGAGCCATTATCTATTCCAAAATATAATAAGAATTTTTGTGATTTCAAAACATTGTTGATAAAAAGTTGAATTTCATTCTTTAAGTATAAGATAAGAATATCCAAAAAAGACGTCTAATAAATCTTATTATTTTTTGGATCAATAAGTAATTTTAAAATCAAATCTTAATAAAGATATGCTCTAATAAACTTAGTAATGATTCAAAACATATGATGCCTTGAAATATTCAATATACAATGATTGGATTAAAAGTACTTTCTAGATTTTAAGACCATTCTTAAAATGAATCTTTAATTGCAAAAAGCTCTTTTTTATGAATCATGTACTTGATCTTGGCTATTAAAAATTTCTTAGAATAAAAAGCTACTAGATAGAGGTTGTTATCTACTTCTATTTGTGACATCGCTATATATATGGCAAAGTTTAATGGATCTATTTTCATAAAGAATGCCTTAAAAAAGTTGATGCTATATAAGATTAGTATAGATATAAATGTTGTCTTGAAGGCTTTAAAAGATACTTCAGCTTCTTTGTTCAATTCAAGTTTGTCTTTACATATCAAGCATGTAACGAGAGCTTAAACTCAAGAAAAGTTTGTGATGAAAATCTAATATTAATTATCAATTTTTTTTTTAAAGAAATTAGCATCTCTCACTACTTTTAGAACCTTCTAATCTATAATAGTTTGGACCTTTTTAGGATCTATCATAAGGCTATCATATGAAATAATGTATTCTAAAAAGTCAACTTAAATAGTATAAAATATATTCTTTTTAATCTTAGCATATAGTCTTACATCTCTAAATTTTTGTAATATATAAAAAACACAAAGTTCATATTTTTTTATATTCTGAGAATAGATTAAGAAATCATTTAGATAACAAATAATAAAATCATTAAGATACTCTGAAAAAATATCATTCATCACATGTTGAAAAGAAATTGGTGCATTTGTGAGTCCAAAAGATATGACATCATATTCAAAATGTCCATACTTGATTTGAAATATAGTTTTACATTCATCTCCTTTTTTGATGCATACCAAGATGTATGCTTCGTATTGATCTATTTTTGTATAAATCTTCATTTGATTGAGTTGATCAAAAAGTTTGAAAAGCAAAGATAAAGGATATCTATTTTTAATCATGATTTTGTTGAGTCATTGATAGTCTACACACATGTTTAAAGATCCATCTTTCTTCTTTACAAATAAGATAGGAACTCTTATTAGAAATTTAAAATGATATTTGAAGTTTTTAGTCAAGTCATTTTCAATGTATTCCTTGAGTGCACCCAACTTATTTTGTAATAAGCTATAGATTGGTTCAAATAGTGATTGAGCTCCTTCTTAAAGATCAATTGAATAATCACATGGAATTTTTTTGAAAAGATATCTATATTTGTACATTTAATAAAAATATAGCTCATGAGATTTGTTTGCCATTTTAGAATGGCTCCAAGTTAGGTACAAATGGATAGCATAGATAATATCATTACAATATTATCAGCACCCTATTTTGTGAACAGCTAAGATAATTTTTTAACAATTTAAAGATGCTTAGCAATATTTATGCATAATTTTTTAAAAAAAATGCAATTATACACATATTGTATTGAATCATTAATTAAACAATCTTATTTTATACATGTTTGTTTATATGTGTTTGATTTTGCATTTGATTTTTTAAGTAATAATACAAGTTTTTCCTATAATTTCCTACAAAATTTTAATAAAATTTTAGGTGCAAAATATGCAACTATGAATTCCTATCAGCAGAAAGAAAAAAATTGAATGAAATATAGCCAATAAAATGGTTCTTCATTTCTTTGTTTACTGAGATTTATTAAATTTGGTTCTGATTAATTAGTTAAATAATTATTTATTTAAAAAAAAGAAAATATATATATATATATATATATATATATCTTCTTCTTTGAAGCTCACTACTAACAATTACAGCAGAATGAAACCAAAAATAAAAATGGAAAAGGAAGAAAAGAATAAACAAGAAATTGATCCTAGAATATAATATTTATTATAGGTTCATTTTATTTTATTACTTTCCATTCTTTTATTTACTTTTGTTTCCACGAAGATGAACTCAAATCCAACGGCACAAACATGAGGTCAGAACTCTCCCATTTAAACCCAGACGAGCGCGTTCACACCACAATAACTCTTAAACCACGCGGGACCTATTACCCCTCCCGAAACCAGAGGGTCGTTGATGGGCCTCGTAGCTGCCAACTCATCCAACACTCTGCCACGTCGGATCAGTCAAAGCGAGCCATGCAAACACATGTATCCATAGCTCTCGCCGAGATGCTGCTCTGCCTCGTCGTCGTGGTTGCGGGAATCGTCTGCTTGTTGCAAAGGAAATCTCGTCGATGGAAGACTGTCGATCTTCCATCCACGGAACCATTTCGTATAGGCAGATTGAAAAATTTCTAATGCATTTCCGATAATTCCCCTTTGGCCGCGTGTGCATGATCTCTTACTGCTGCTTCACTTGTCGTCTCGCGGTACGCCGAGCTTGGGCAATGATTTCGGGTGGCAGATTTGTGGGTTTCAGTCCATGCTGAGCTAATTTCAGTCCCCAGTCTCTGTTCCTAAGAAACGCCCAAGTGGGTTCTCGAGTAATGTAGCTGTGGTGACGATTGTGTGGATCGAAGACGGGTTTGCTCGATCCCTTTGCTTGCAGAACTAGTGCGTCCTTCTCTTTTGCGTGCATTGGCGTCAGTTTGTCGCTAATTGAACTCTTTGCTCGAGGACTAAGCGTTCGCGTTATCGCAGATGGCGGACATGGGAATGTAGTGAAAAGGGAGCTAAATTTCTGTCATGTAGATTTTAATCGAGAATTCTGCTTCTGATTTACATGGGTAACTTTGAAAGCTAGGTCACGGGCTCAATGATTCAAATCTAGCTGATAGTTTTGTAGGAACTTCCACAGCAGAAATTTGGGTACCCGGACATAGTATTCTTAGGGAGAGTGGATGCAAAGGTGTGTTTTACCGTTCTTTCAATATTAAGTAGACCAACTGCACCACAAAAGAGGGGTTAATCGTCATGGCGGATTGCCAAGAGAATTCGGAATCAGGTTCATACTCTGTGTGGGCTGTAATTCCACACCATGACGAAGACTTGCATTCAATTATGACGCTGCTGAGGGAGCAGCATAATGGTCCAGTGTTTCCCCCTCATGTAACTATTATGGTCCAGCCTTTCAGTACGCAAGAAGACGCTGTTAACAACCTTAAAGCGCTCTGTGAATCCACCCCGCCCCTCACGCTCAAGGTTGTGAAAGTGGATAAAGGAAACTCCTACCACCAGTGCGTTTTCTTGCTTATGGATAAGACTGATGAGGTATTGCGATCTCTTCCTCTGACCTAGATCATTGATTGCAGCTTCAATTATTGTAGATTTTAAGCTTGCAAGCAGACTCTAATTTCGCAATTGTGAAACTGATCATTGATGCATCTTTTGCTGATGCTTTCAAAAATGCTTAGTTTTGAGCTGGTTGTGATGATTTTGTTTTGTAGGTGGTCAATACACATGTACGAGCGTTGCGCTGTTTCAAGCTGATCAGTGAGGAGAACAGCATCCAAGAGATTAGACAAAGTGAGTATTCTTACGTACAATTTCTAATTCATCTTGTCGCTTTCGTGTCTATTGTCTATCACATATTCTAGAGATCCACGCGGCACGTACTCATGCTTGCGCGTCTGCCTGTTGTGCGCCTGTACGCGAAGATGATTACTTCCGGGCTTATATTCCAAATGTGAATTTTCCCTCGAGGTCAATTTCAAAATAGATTCTTACTGTTTCTCAACATCCTGTTTCATTTGGATAAAATGATAGGCCTTACCACATCAAGGCTGCAAGAGCAGATGTATAGTTGTGGATGCTTGTGGACTGGACTTTTATATAAAACCATAACGTCAAGGAACTAGTGCTTCAAACTTTGCTTCGGTTGCTCCAATGTGGTAGCAGCTACACTGTTCATCATCCATGTAATTTACTGTAATGCTGTTATCAGATAGGTTCGCTAATAGCCATGTTGCAGCTGATGTGTTGGTTAATTAGAAGCCTGTCTTGCGCAATCTGCTGGTTTTCCATTGTAGTTCTCTCTGTTGCATGCCAGTTATTAACATATCAAGCCATTTTTACGTGTTCCAGAGTACAAGCCCCATTTAAGTCTGCTGTATAACCGCATGACAGACGAAGAAGTGGATGCATTATGTGCAAAAGTGGCAGCAGAATATGAGAAAGACTTGGTTGGCAAGGAGTTTAATATCACCCACCTCACTCTTTACTTCACAGATGCGAGTGATGATTCGTGTGATTCATGGGTAAAGGTAGCTGAATTCCCACTGAATGGCTGAGTTACCAAAATGAGAGATCGAGGTCATGAGAATATATCACCTTCTTTTAATTTTGACATTTCCGAAAAGCTTATGTAAGGTGGTAGAGGAGTAACGTGGTTTAGGTGAAATACTTTTATACATTTCCGGGAGAATGGATTTAGAAGACTTAGGGACTTTTTGCATGGTTTGGTTAACTTTTGTTAATAAGGCACAGTCAGTATTATAATTACGACAATGTGTTTGTTCATTGTCGATACTATCTTTCTTTGCAGATCCTTGTGGTGTTAACACCACAAGAATATGATTTTAGTGTGAGTAATTTCAAATTTTGTTTCAATTTGAATGTCTAATTTATAATGGATTTATGTATCTTTTCTACTCAGAATATTAAATAATGTTTGCTGTTGGTATAAATTTTTTTTAATTCAAAAAAATAAAGAAATAATTTGAAATATTTTATTCTTTTGATTGGGCTTGGGCTTCTCCAAATAACATCAAGTTATGACACACTTGATCAAGTTTTGACTTCTCTCCAAATTAAAGATGTAGATTAATTTTTTAATTGACAGGATGATGCACAATTTGGTATATTGGTATTCTACTAAGATCAATGTAGTTGGTTGGATTATTATTGTAAAAAAAATTTCAGCTATCTTCTTTGTATTTCTTTCTTGCCATATGAGTGGGCTTCTTAAAAGCAATGTGAAAAATAAAAAATTTGGTTAAAAATTTCATATGGAATAATACCTTGTCCTTAATTTTCTCTAAAGTAGCATGGTTGACACATTGCAAAGATCTACTTAAAGGTCACATAGGTATAATTGACCCAAAATAGACCACTAAAGTATTTTTTACCAAATAGATTGTAGGAGCTTCACAACATGGCCATGCCAACATTCAACAATTTGTCAAATTTAGAATGATGCATATTATACCAATTATTATCAAATAATGGCTTCTATATTGTGCTTGGTCACTTACTTATAATCATAAAGAGAGTAAAAAGTCAAAATTTTAGAATAAAATTTATAGAGTTTAGTTTCACATGCATTGGTACTTATGTCTTAGGTCTCCAGTATTGTTTTATAAGATTTAGAATAGATTTCTTTGATGAGATCCAAAATTCCCACCAAAGAAATTCAAAGTTCTCTCTCATTGACTCACTTGGATTCCCATGAAGCTGCTTCTCTTCATTTAAAAGATCTTCAGTGAATCAAAAACCTTTCTGGATATCTCATACAACAACTTACTGATAAGGAAGCAAAACCTTTATACTAAACTCTTAATAACATTAGATACATATAGACTTTTTTGACATTAGCATTTTTTTAGATCTTGGAAGATCTTCCTTCAATACAATATGACTTTATCCAAAGCCTAAGATTAAATTGGCATATATACTTAGGAAAGAATTCAGTTGCCTTTCATTATTTTCTAACTCATACAATGTAAAGGGATTAAAGAGAACAAATGGTTTCATTTCTTAGAACCCACAAAGATTAATTTTTTATAGATAGAGGTCTTGTCTAAAATCCTTCATTTTGATAGAAAAAATAGTTAGACATGAATAAAGAAAAAATTAAAAATTTATCTCAAACAAAAGACTACTCTACCTATGCAATAGGACAAATCTTTAATAATAAAACCAATAATAGGAACTAGAGTAGAAAAGGCAATAAAATGAATCTTTAGAATATCATTATATAAATTGATAATATGTAAAAGTATATAAAAATCAAAAAGTAACAAAAGAAACTTCACTCAAAACTCTTAACACCACTTGCCTTAGTATTAAATATCAAAATGTTGGTTGTACTATTACACTTTATTAATGCATTAGATAAATCCCATTTTGATGCCAATATATATATTGACATATATTCTACTTTGATAACTAAAATATTTATTTTTCTATGATCTTTTTCTAACTACAAGTTTGATTATTATTTTTTTTCAATTGAAGTTTATAATTTGTAAGAAATCAAAAAAGTTTTAAAAAATTCTTTTGCAATAAATTGTTTGTGCAATTTGTACAAAGGAAGAATATATGTGTGACAATATTGTTAAACTTCAAGACCATTATAGTGACTTGAATCATTACAATTAATACCAATAAAATATAAAAATATAGTGCTATACTAAAATACTTTAAATTATATTTTTTGAAGTACTTTTATGAAAATTATGACATTGTAATTAATAAATCCTTAAGATATTTAAAAAATTCATAAAATTTCTTTCAAATTTTTATTACGATGATTTTTTTTAAAATTAAATACAAAATGTTGTTTCAGATTGAGAATGATAGAACAACAATAGTGGTAGATATTCTAAAAGAAATTATAATAATTTCACTATAATTTCAAAAATATTATAAAAAAAATATTAGTTTGAAGAGTTTTAAAAAGATGTATTAAAGATTAAATTTTAATTAAATATAATAAACTGAAAACCTCTACAATTTAGAATTTAGATAAATTATTTTGTAATATATTTTAATATCTTCAAAAAATTAAAAAATTAAATCAAAAATATGAAGGATTTAATATTTTGTATAAAATTTTAAATATGTATTTTTTAATTAATAAATATTATTAAAAATATTTATTAAAATATTTATCAAAAAAATAAGTGGATAAAAATAATATCTAATTATTTTAGTAAATTTGAATGCTGATAAAATAAAATAAAAATAGATGATTTTCATGTCATTGAAATCAAATACAAAATGTTGTAAGTTGGTTTTTAATTGAAATGCAACCTCAAACCACAACTTATATCAATATCAACATATAAAATTCATAAAAAAAACCAAATTTATTAATTTACTTTTAATTTTCTCATCAATTTCTTTTGAAGGAAAAAGATAATTGACATTTATTAAAATCTCTTTCATTAGTAAAACACTAAACTATATGCTTGTATGGTAGATTGTAAATTCTAAAGGTATTTTTTTAATATTGTGATAGTTACTAAAAAGTCTATGTCTGTAGAATATGTTTTCAATTGTCTTTACTAATCATTAAATTTTTTAAAAAATATTATCAAAAATAAAAATAGACATATTTGTAATACAATTTAATAAAATTTGTAGAAATATTTAAAATAATTTTTAATACTTAAATATATGCAGATGTTTTATATATATATATATATATATATATATATAAATCGATTTATATAAATTTATATATATACATATATATACTTATTGGAATTCCTGGCTTTGCTTCAATATTTTTTATAGCATACATTTACATCAACACATAACATATTATGTAAATATCAAGTAATTTTATTTTTAAGTTTAAATTTATATTAGTATTTAAATATTTTCTATCATATTTTATTTAATTCAATTAAAAACCAACTTACAACATTTTGCATTTGGTTTTTAATTGAATTAATTGTTAAATTCTCTTTACAAATTTTTTATTATCTACCATTTTAAATATTCTATTAGATATTTTTATTTTTTATTTTTTTAATTTATTATAAATCAATTTATTTTTTATTTTTTAAAATATGTAAATAAAACCATTTATTGTACTCGTATCACTAAAAGACTGTATATATATATATATATATATATATAGATAGATAGATATATATATAAACACATTTATATATATTGAAAGGTAACTAAGCATTTATATGTAGTTATATAAATATATATATATATATATATATATATATATATATATATATATATATATATATATATATATATATTTAATTCCAAAAAAAATCTAAAATAACACAATATCATTATATCAAAAAAATTAAAATTATTATAAATTTTGATGTTTATAAATTAAGTTCTTTTTTTAAAAAAATATTGTAAAGAGCTTCATATTGAGAACATGAAAGAAATAGAATAAAATAAAATAATAAAAACACAAAAATATGTGCATAAAAGAAGGTATTTTTTTTTTAAAAAAATGAATCATTCAATAACATCAATAATAATTATTTTGACTTGTAAACAAGAATACAATAGCTTTGTAAATAAATCATATGTAGATGATTGATTTAGAAAATGTCTTAAAAAATAAGTTTCAATATGCATCTTTTTTTTGTGTGCATTGTTTACTTTCTTTGCTTTAAGAAAGAATGGTGGTCAAGAGAGAGACTGAATATTTTATGGAAAAAAATATATCTCGAGTTGTTCTTTTAAAAAATAAAATATTTGCCTCAAAAAATCTTTAATTCAAATTTATTTTTTTTGGTATATTTGGCTACCTTTTCTTTTCCTTTTTCTTTTGTTATTGGGTCAACATTGGGCTACTAAATATATCCTAAGTATAAAAAGCACACTTTTTAAGCCAATTTAAGTTGTGTAGAGGTTATGTGGGGTGTAGCCATATCAAAAAATGTAAACTTAACAATTCTCAAAATTTATTATAGGCCTTTAAAAAAAAAATTATGATAATAATAACAATATACAATCATAATATGTACTTTTATGGTTTGATTAATTGCATTATAGGTATAAGCATTAATTTAAGATACATTATATCTTCTTTTATTGCTTCATTCAAACTACAAGATTATAATAACCTTCATATAGGAGAATGATAAATAGACAAGTTTTTATTAAATTGACCAACCTATCATGAACAAAAAAATGACCTCTAGATTTATCTCTCCACAATTAGATCTGCAACCAATAAAAACCAACCATATTCATTGTGATTACTATATTCTTCATCCAAAATGAGTCTATTTAGTAAAAATATGGGTCTATATAACATTCTTCTTCATTTAAACCACAAGTTCATGAGTAGTAAACTTAACACCAAATAGCTGATTCAACAAGCATTTAGTTGGAATTCTAATCAACTTAAGCGTGACCCAATTTAATCATGTGTGTCTCATCGCTAATGGCACTTGTAACGGCATACAAGTCATAATGACCACACAAACTTTTAGTACAAAATATCACCCTGACAGTATTATTCAGTGATTAATCAAGACTCAAAACCTTTTTGTTGTTGGGGACAAAATCTTTGAAACAGTTCCCAATCATAGTGGTGAGGATCCTAGCATTATTCCATGTCCACCCCATAGCTACCACAATTACCACAGCTATCTTCAGTGCGTGTAAGAAAGCTCACCATAGCTGTTCAGATGTGACATTTCTTTGCCTACAATTGTCTGGTGATTACTGCACAGCATGCTCAAGGGTTCAAGAGCTGACTAGAGAACATGCATTGACAGATAAGCGTAAATAATACTTAGGTTAGGTTTCGCGCAGGTAAACTGCTCACTTGAGCGTTCATGTGACTCTTACCCCACCAACGTCCAAGTATCTCGAGAATGTAGTGAGCACTTGGTCCCTTGAGCATATATTATCGTCAATATATCTAAATTCGTTAAGGGTTTCGATGCTCAGGGGTTTAATCTGCTCACTTGAGCATCAATTTAGATGTATACGTCTCTCCCTTAGGGGATTTTTCAATCAAACTGACATGCATGGTGGTTTCGATTTGCTGATATGAATGCGTGGTAAGTCTCACGTTACACAACAGTTTTCTTGTAAAAGATGAAGGCTTCAGCTGTATATATTCCTGCAACAAGCCTCTGGACGACATGAATTAAAATTATCTGTCAACCTGGATGTATAATTTAAGTTGCAAGGTAAGAAATGCAACTCATGGGAATCAGTACCCAGCATTCATGATGGTTCCGAACCCACCACGCCACCTCTTCCCAAGCCCCTTTCTACTGCTCTGTCAACTGCGCTATTCGAGTTGTGAATGTGGCCGAAATTCGAAGGGCAGCGATGCACAGTGCTAACTAAAATGATTACAGCATCTCCATTCAGACTCTCTGTTAAGAACAAGCCGAATGCCATGCAGGACAATATTTAAGTTTCATGCACTGTGTGCCCGGAATTGAGCATCTATATGCTGATTGAAAATTGGAGGGAACTGTAATATTACTGAAGGGAAGAGATAGCAGCTTCTACGTCTTTGGCCGATTTTGCCAAAACCTGGAACTGCTCTGCCGTAAGGCTTATCCCTGGTGTCATAGACCACAATCGTAGGTGAAATCATTGTAGATAAGAATGGACGATTATTCGCATGAACAAACATACGTGTTCAAATTACAAAAGTAAAAGACAAAATTGTAATAGAAACGGAACACAATTCGGAATAGAGCACTTTCGAGTTGCGACAAGTTGGGGTGGAGTTGTGAAGAGGATCAGACCTTTAGCAGACGGCAAGACTTTTCCATCCCTCTCATAATATTCTCGCACCGAAATTAGAGTTTTGCCCCTAAACTGACTAACGACAACCTTCCGCTTCGCTGATAACTGCATAACCACTTCACTGTCAATTCGATAGCCAACGACAGAAACTACAGTTCCTTCTAAGAAAATCACTGCTACGACAGTATCATCTAAGCCGAGTGGAAAGACCACATAATTGAAGTGTTCGTCCAATGTGTCTACGCTGTACGTGCCAACAGACTAATCAACATGGTGCAGAATGGCAACCGTCGAACTATAAGTTTTATCCGCACAAAACACATACCTCCTAATGTTGAACTTAATGAGGTCAATCAAGAATTACAAATCTAATTTGAGTTTGAACGCCTCACAAATTAATACATGCAGGTTCTATCTCCTTATCAGTACTTTGCGTTGTGGACGACATGCTACGACCTCGGAAATCAATGAACGAAAATAAAAGATTATGAATAATATATACCTCGCATATGATGATATTGCCCTCCTCATCCTTTTCATAAATTGGTTTATCTCCTTCTCTAGATGCTTCCTCCGCATCTTCCTCGTACACTTGGTCATGAATGTCTTCGTCCTCCTTTACATCTTCTGAGACTTTCATCTGAATAAAACGAAAATTGACGAGCAGATTGAGCCATCTTCTACTTCCTCTACGCAACACATTGCAAAATAAAAGATCCTACACGGCTTTCAAAAGCAATGGCAACGACAACTACGAGATAGCTACGTACTAAATGTCTTACTGCTGTAGAAGGTGGCCGATCCAAACGCATGATTATGTGGAAAGTAAACATACGTACATTCTAAAAGCACCAGTATCAAAAGTATGTGCAGATTGCTTACATAATCTCCGATACAACAACAATCAAGTGAAATGGTTCTCACATGACATGGTCTCTACCAGCAACCACTTGAAATCTGAGAACATGCAGCACCCTGTGGTCCTAACCTCGAGCAGAATTGAACACACAGGAGGTAAATTCTCACCTTCTTACTACATCTGTCCCTAGAATCTTCTTCAACTTCAGGCTCTTCCCTTTCGACTGGTACCTTCGGATTTGGAGCACCTGCTTCAGCATATGAAGCGTCGGCCGCAGAATCTAAAGCCTTCTTAATCACACTCGACACAAACTTCTTGCCCTCACGGCTTGAGAGATCGAGGCCAGTCCTTTGAGCAGCCATGTCACGGACTTGCTTCGCGGACACTTCCTCTATGTTTACTTCCGCAAGTATTTCTTCCACAGTGGCCCTTACTCTCGCCTGCTCCTCTTTTTCCATATCTTCCTCTCGAAATTCTTCAAAACTTCACTACTTCGACCTCCGCTGTACCCTCCCAGCACACTTCATAAAAATCGAAAAAACAACTTAGGTTAGTGTTTTCGGAAATGTGATGCTTGCGCAGCCGCTATCAGCTTGCATCACTCGAACAACGAAAATCACAAAATAGAAATCAAAAACCGTTTTAATCACGAGGAAGTTACCTAGCTCCAGGTAGTTGTGCTCCCGTTTATTGGATCAAATCGCCCTGTTCTACTAGCCAAGAACAAACTCAATCGCCTTCGTTTCAAATGCCACAAGCTCTATCGTCCTTAATACCGCAAACGCTGTAAGACTTTCATTGTTTAGAGCAATACAATTTGCAAAATGTGTGTGACTGACAAAGGCTCGAACAGAATTCATAAACAGTTGCTGCGGCCGAGGTGAAGACCGCCAGTGCGAAACAGATAGGCCGCGCTCCTGTTAAAACCTCCCTCGCAATGCAGGTCATCCATATTTCATTCATCTCCAACCCTTTCATCCATCATGCGTCTCCCCACATTTCAAATCTTTAACCCTTTGGCTGTGACGGAGCTCAACTTCGGCATATCGCAATGGGTCGAAGGTTATTTTATTTTAAAAATTTATTCCATAATATTATTTTTATGGAATCTATTTCTCTAGAAGCGTCTTTGAATAGCAATGAGTGCTTAAATAGCATCATTGTAGGAAGACATTTGAAATTAAAACTTTATATTTGTGTATATATTTTTTGTTTACACAAAGAGGACGTAGAAAATTTAAAAAAAAAAAAAAAAAAAAAAAAAAAAAAAAAAAACTCAAAGTGAAATAGAGCACTGAAAAAAAAAAGAAAATAAAAAAAGAAAATAAAATAATAATAATTTTATTCTTATTTATTCTCAATTGTATATTTTTCCTTTTTCGACGTTATTCTACATAGATTTACTAAAAAATTATCTTCTCTTTAAATATCATGCTACAAGTGCAATGGTCTACTGCTGTTTGAATTTTATTTTGTATTGGATGAAGTATTATATGAATCCAACTCTCAAATCATATTAGATTTTAGAAATAAAATTTGATTGAACTTATATCAATTATATATTGAAATTATTTCTATAATAAAATCTGATAAAGTTTGATTTTACAAGTATGCATAGCATAAAATAAAATACATTACATTTATTTGTTTTTTTAAGTTTTAATTTTTTTATGAATATAAAAGTTTAATTAATATAATTAGTTTAAAATTTAGACAATTTCATTTATTATAAGGCATAGCTTTAAAAGTCATAAGATATTTTAAAATTGGATTATTAGATAGAACTATTTATAATGTAGTCAATACCATCATAATAGATTAAAACTTATAAAGTGTTGTTGTATAGTAATACATCTAGTCAGTGAAAAAAATGGTGAAGATCTAAAATATGAGGAAAGAACTCAAATACAAGTTTAACAAATTGAGCTTAGCTGCAAAATTTATGTTTTATACCGCATATTGTATTAAGAAGACTTCAACCACCTTGGCAGGGCCATATTTGGATTGAAAAAAAGTAAAATAGATAGTTAAATAATGCAATTACTTCTAAGACAAAGTTAAGGGTAGGCTATTGCAACTTTATCATTAAAATAGTAAAATTGATACTTGGAAAAAGACCATTTGTGAGACAAGGTCAAATTTTGACCTTGAAACAGAAAAACAAGAACCTTCAACAAATTAAGATTTTATTGAGAAATCAAGGAGTGAGCTCAAAATTTTCAAGTTTCAAGAACATGCTAAAAGTATAAGATTTGTATGGTTATGACTCAATGAAGGCCTTTAATGACACAATGAAAGTTAGGAATTTACGAGCAACAGAGAATAAAAGGAGTAATAATTATTGTAAAGTATAGACTTGTTTCTAAAACATTGAAGGACATTAGAATCAAGCTTCAGGGTACACATGAAACATAGTCTGACAATAGGGAAGGCCAAACTAAATTCTAATTCTAATCTAATTCGGAGGTGGGTTTAGGAACTAGACTCAAGAGTAGCAAGTAACCATAAAAAGTTGAACCAAATCAGAAGCGGCAACAGAATCCTCAAAAGTAAATAGGAGTTTCAGAGTAACTTGAAAGAACATTTCTAAGTTACGAACAAAAAAGGCTATCATAAAAGTTCCAATGCAGGTGGGATTCAAGCATACCGGAGTCTCGGCAGCAGGCACGTTGAGAGCCTTTTTGCATGTCAACTCCTTGCAATCTCACATTTACTTCCCAGGCTTCATCTTTTTGAATGTTTGACACATTCTGTGATCCTGCAAATGACTGAACAGAAGCAATAGTGCACTATGAAATCATGCGGTAATTCTGCCGTCTCTGGGAATTAGATTGATGACATCAGAAGACAACTGTGATCCAAGCATGGTGTACTCGATCATCACACATGATTCTAGCCTAGAAGTATCATCACATAGAAATCTCTTGTTTCCAAGCAAGTATCACCACACATAAAAATCTAGAGACGGGATTACTTGGTTGAAAACTAAAGACCATCGATAACATGCAGATACAAGCAGCTAACTCGCATAAAGTTTTGTTCAGACAGTACATATTCGATACCATTTCTCTAATACAGCATACGTGTATCTACCTGGCCAACTCTCAAAAAGGTGCAAGGTGGGAGAATCGCCTGGTCTGGCATAGCACCTCTGTACAATCACACAATCGACCCTGGCTAGTCAATCCCCATGACTTGGAGCAACCATTTATTCTCAGCATGCAGAAAACAAATACCGTCCTCTCAATCTGCAAAGCTCTTCTAAAATATTTACTGTACATCTTTCGATTCAAAATTCAAAACCGTTCAACAATCTAGAGGTTAACCTGAAAATACTGAAACGACAAGGGGCAATTGAATTGTACAATTCTATCTATAAAAGGTACTGCAAACGAAAAGAAAAGAAAAGAAACATAACAAACCTTGCAAAAACAACACAAAACAAAACAAAGTTAGAGGAGATTAACATCAAAATATTAACTTTACAGTAAATCGGCATGATCAAATCATGAACGGAAACCTAAAACAAACCCCCAACACTAAAATAGAACCTCATCATCGCGTATAACAGCATTTGAAAACAACACAGAGGTAGACAAAGAAGGAAACTATGGGAAGAGTAACGGTAAAAGTCTCGTACACAAGAAAAGATTGAAACTAATGCTCCACCACGCATCGCACTCCGCATACCTTCCAAATAATCCTCCTTCAGCACAACGAATTCTGCAGATCTGAGATACAGGTACCCAAACTAAGCAAAGATAGTAACAAAGCAACTTGATCACGCTAACTACTCATCAGGAAGAACAACGATAAAGTTCATTAACAAGTATTTTTTAAATTTTTTATAAAAATCAAAAGCAGAAAAAAGCTCCCACCTATCACCAAACTGCCGTGAATTATTCGTGGAGAGCTATGAATTGTTATTTTCATATTACTGAGGTGGATTCTCTGGATATAAAAATTCTCAATAGAGCTAAACTAATACAATACCAGTACAAAACGAAATAAATCATGCTTACGGGATATGATCGGCACAATTTGCTACAGACATCGTCTTGCTGTTGTGAGCAGTGGAAGGAATCTTCGAATGTGTTCGAAAAACACCATTGCGAATTGCGACAAATTCTTCCAGACAAAGGTGGATGAGAAAAATCTGCCCCGACTTCCTGCGAGACACCTCCGAATCTGGGTTGAGGTCTGGGAACACAATCGAGAATAATTTTTTCCAAAAATAAAATGGGATACCCCTACGATGGTGTGGGCTTTTAGTGGGTTGGGACCTGTTCTGCCAATCTTCGCTGTGGGGGTCACTATGCCACGTTTATAGGTCTGACATGGTGATAGAAACACAACATCCATCTTCTCCGTCCGATTCGCCCCCGACGATTGCAGTAACAGAGAACGGTTATGCTTGGAGTTCATTTTTGGTTACACTTGGAGTTGGGAATTGAGCGAGCCGTCGAAGCTTGATGTATTGAATTGAGCAATGTCGTTGGTGAGGAAGTGGGGGTCTAGGCATTTGTGGAAACCTGCGTTGTGTGCAGACTGAAGGTTGAGATTTTGGGTTGGTAAAGGATTTGGTTGAGAAACGAGGAATCTATTTGTAACCAATCTTGGGTAGGTGTAGGATCTGGGCAGGGAGGACAAGATGACAGACCACGAAGCAGAGCAGGAGATGGAGATAGAGGCACTGCAGGCGATTTTAATGGACGACATGCAGGAGGTTACGAGCGCGGAGTGCGGGTTAGTCACAGACGCACGTTGTTTCCAGATTAGGGTTTCGCCCATGGACGATGATGAAGATGAGCCGACTGACATACCCGTGCGATTAGCGGTCAATTTCGCCCACACTCCCAAGTACCCAGATGAGCCACCCTTGCTCAAGGTGCGGAGTTTGCAGGGAATCAAGGATGCAGACATTAAGGAGTTGCAGCAGAAGCTGCAGGATGAAGTGCAAGAAAATCTGGGAATGGCGATGATTTACACTTTAGCAACTTCGGCCAAGGAGTGGTTGCGGGAAAAATATGGCCAAGAGGATGTTGTAGAAGAGGAAGAGGATGATGTGGAGAAGGAGGAAGTGATTGTGCCACACGGAGATCTCGTGACAGTGGATAGTTTCGTAGCGTGGAGAGATAGGTATGAAGCTGAGATTGCCCTTGAGAGAGCCAAATTGATGCCAGAGTCTGTCCTTATGGCTTCCAAGGAGAAGAAGCTCACAGGCCGGCAGTGGTTTGAGATGAAGGGAGGGAAGGTCGCGGAAGAGGATGAGGAGGACATTGATGACGATGAGGATATTGATTTTAGCGACGATGATGAAGATCTTGATGAAGACGAAATGTTATCTTATCTTGCTGAGAAGACCGAGAGAACTTCTATTCGGAACTAATCGATAACGGCCGATCGTCCCCTTGATTGAATGGACTCATCTTGGGAGATAATGTTGTCAAGTGTTGTTGGTGGTAGTTGTCTGACTCACAAGGTAGAGTATGACATTCTCACGAGATAGATTTTTACTAATATACATAGGAACGCAAGCTTCAATAGACGACTGTCTGTATGTCTCTCTCTATATATATATATATGAGATTAATGCGAGTCCAAACTTGCAATGGTATGCGTACTTATGGCTTCTGGGTGTAGCAAGCCTGCTCTCCCTCACCATGCTTGCTTCAAGAAATTAGATTAGCTAGGCTGTACTGTTATCATGTGTTTTTCTTAATCATAGTGCCCCTATCTTATGCTTTAAGATGCTGTTAAGATTGCCAGCGATCACATGATTTATTAATTGATATGCACATGAGTTGGGCAATTTTGAGATTGTTGCCAACCGAGGTGTAGAGTGTCATTTGTGGTAACGGTGAGTTCCATCAACCCAGTAAAGGCATGACTTGGGTCCGAGCATTTCGTCCATGTGACAAGCATTTTAAGCAGCTGTGATTAAGTTCTTGCTGGATGCAGCAGATATGAGCAACTGTGTTGCAGCGGTCCTCGTATCACCGCGCTTGCAGCAAAACATTGGACTTGTTCGCATGAAGTGTATTGGAACAATTTAAGCCATGTTCCGTCACTTCAGGATGTGTAATTTCGGGCCCTGCTCTTTGGAATTGCGGCTAAGATCTTTCAGGCATGCTCAAACAGATTAATGAAATCTTGATATCAACTGACGTTATGACCACAGGCCCGCGTTCTGCGTACAATGCACTTGTCTGCATCTAATGATCTTCAAGGAAATGTGACACTATACAAAACAAATCTTATCGAATGATGTGCACGAAAATGTGTTGTTTATTGAACACAAGTTCAGTAAGTGCAGTAGTCTCCTTGCGTGGAAACCAAGTGGGTCACTCATAACAGTATGCCACACCTGCTCAAACGCTCCAGCAAATGCTAAACCAGAGCTGTTGTGGACTACCGAAGTGAAGTTCATGTAAGGGAGAAGAGCTAAAGGTGAACACTCTTCGACTGATACATTCAGCGGAGAAGCCTAAGCTATCTGCGTGTACTCGATCTGTGCAGCAACCAATTCATTTACAGGCTGCATAGGTAAGAGACGACTCCTCAATGAAGCGATGTGTGATTCTGATAAATATATCATTGCGGGTTCTGAGGTCTTCAGATGCAAGTTACTTGAATCAAATGTGAAATTCTACTGGCCAAGGGCCTCTAACAGCAAGTGACCAAATTCACAGTAATGGATTGGTTTGGCCTGGCGCAACTGTTGGATCACGGTACACAGGTCTAAAGTGATCAGTCAGGACTGTCCTGGCCAGTTGAACGTCCCTTACAAACGTCGTCCTTGCTTTAGCGTAAGGGGCATCTCGAGCTGCAGAAAATAAGTGTTAGAAAAAGCATCACTGTTCTGATTATTATCATTAAATATGCCAGAAAACAACTTAACATGGCAAACAGGGAATAAAAATCGCCGAAAAAAATAGGAATATTTCACGAACAGCTTCTCATGAATCTTGTGAATTCATGTTGTAATGGAAATGAGTACTTTAATGTGGCACGAAATCGACAAGAAATGGGCAGAGCAGAGGCTTACGCAGCCTTTGGGCGCGGGCGATGTTTTGTCTTCTTTTATAGAATATGTATATCGCTAACGCAGCCAGAAGGGAACCCAGCAACACTCCCACGATAATGCCTGCTTTAGTGCCTCCCTTCAGATGACCACATGGTTTAATACCAACACCACATAGATCTTCGTTGTTGGCAATGCTGCAAAACATTCATACAGCTCAGCAACAGAATCAACAGGACAACCCTGCTTAAGCAAGCTGAATCGAAAATCTTAATTTCCAGTCTAAAACGGCAAGTGGATTAGGGGGTGCGCGAAAGCAGAAAACCTGAACAGATGTTACTTACTTAAGATTAGCCCCTCGCAGAGCACCAGCACTGAGACTGTGAGGCACTTCACCACTTAATAGGTTGTTGTTCAAGAACCTGCAAGAAGCAAGATGAACTCAAACAAAGCTTACAAGCACAACTATCAAAAAATCAATACATGACGAGTTTAAGTCAATATCAGAGGTATGAACACATTAAATGTGAAGAGATACTCACAATTTTTGGAGTTTAGTGAGGTTGCCAAGACTTGAAGGTATAGAGCCGTTCACTAGATTATAAGATAGATCTCTGTACAATTCGTAAACGTGGTCAGTATGGTTGTGTTTAGCGCCTGATATTTAGCAAAATCAATTGCAAGAAGTAATGACAGGAAGTACACATAGTGGGGCATATGTATCTAATATCCTCGTGTTTTGGAACATACAACGTCAGAAGAGATTCCAGCTGGCCAATGGATACAGGAATGAGCCCTTGTAACATGTTGTGACTCAGGTTCCTACACATATTTTCACAATGAATTAGACGGTCAGCAAAATACTCGATCGATGTGCCTCCAAGTTTGCTTTGAATTCGCACTTATGTAGCAATGAAAAAAGGATTTTGTCTTCTGAACATACAGGTGCTCGAGTCCGGTTAAGGCTCCAATTTCCTCCCCAAGAACACCTCGTAGTCCTTGAGAATCGAGATTCCTGAAACAAGGAACAATAACAAAGCGGTAAGGCTATCAATCCACTGGTAAAATCTCGCTCGTTTATTCCCATGTGAGAAGAGACATAGAAACACCTGTAACATGTTTGAAAGAGAAGACACAGCATATTAAAGCTACTGCGAACTACAAAATAACGTTTTCTAAGTATACAAATGCATAAAATTGGAAATTCGAATTGCCTGATGTGTTGGAAGAGAGGGGAAGGGGAACATACAGGCCTTCGATCATCCAGAAACCAGAGGCAGCACTGCGCCTGCAGTCCACTCCATTCCACGGGTGCAATTGCGGCACACATGGGTCTCCGTTCCATCCCAACCGGGCAGGCACGTTTAACGATTGCTTCAACTCTTGTATTGCCCACACTGCAAGAAACAACTTGCACGCATTAGCCTGGAGTCCGGACTCGTTCACACAACGGCGATGAGATAACCAGCTTCATCTAACGAAAGTCCAGAGGTAAGCTAGTTTGTTCAGAAAGAAAAAGAGAAGAGGAATCTTACAATTAGTATTCAAAGTTTGAACTTCGGTAGGGACGAGCGCATACACCTCGAAGGCATTGACGGCAATATTTCCAATAATGGGATTGAAGGTAACTGTCAGAGTTTTCCCCTCGACCAAAACTGTCGTGTTCAGAATCAGGGCGCTGAAAGCACCTTGAGCCCATGCCATAATATCCACATTAGCAAACACTTTCTGCTCGTTAACTAAAACATCAAATACCCGGTCGCCTGTATCCACAAACGTGGCCAGTTCTGCAAAGTAGAACCAAATGGAGTACTCTAAATTTGGCTCCACAGGCAGAGTATAAGAGAGGCTCTGACCAGGGTTGGCGGATGTAGCCGTTTGGAAAATGGCCTGAGGGTATATATTTGGGTACACTGCAGCATTGTTTATGGTTAAATTGGTTGAAATGGGGTTCACAGCCGACCCTGGAAGAAAGAGGCTGATGTCACTCTCCCAGTACCGGTCGCCTCCCCATGGGTCTGCTAGAAAGTCCGATCCAAACCCAGATTTCTCTGCTCCTGCACTTACTCTCTTCACAGACCGCATAATAAACTCATGGCTGACGTTAAATCCTCTATTATACGCCTGGTTGAAGATCTGCAACACTTCAATAGAGGCTACGGCTGGATTTCCGTGCCCAGAGCTGTGAAAGCATATAGTAGCAGCTCCGTCATTGACGAAGGCCAAAGAATCTTGGTAGTTATTGTCGTCTGAGCTCCATCCTGGCAGCAAGCTATAGACAAGGGTGCCCTCTATAGAGACATCAAATTGCGGTTCACGGCTGGCGTTATCTTCTTGTCCAAAAGTGAAATATAATCTGTGCACGTTAGAGTGTACTACTTCATTAGGTTCCGATCGCAAGTGCCAAAAGTGTTCATTGACGTTTAACGAAGAGAAATGAAAAAAATTTTAAAAATCAAAATTGAAGTGATGATCATTAAACGATCAGGACTGTGTCGCACCCGGGCAAATAGATTGGAATGACAGCAAGAAGTCTCAAGTCTCGAAGTAATAGTCTACTCAAGTAAGGATTAAGGTTCAGCATAACAAAGGCGGAAATACCTGATCAGGTAATGACCAACTGGAACTGTAATGTTGTAGCAGTTCTCTCCACCACCTGACAACTGAAAGTACCGCACCGTATTAAGCTGAGATGCTTTGTGGTTATTCACAGTGACGTTGGCAGAACGGCCTCCTGAGTAGCCCCAATCCTTGGACCAAAGAAATCCATTTGCACCATAAGTGTCAACGGTTGCTCCACAAGCGATGCGCACAGCCCAAGGTCCTACAGTACAACTCTGCGGTTCAGAGTTCTCGAAAAACGAAGTCTTGCTCTAAAACTCTCCAATTTCTCTTAATTAGAGTTGAAGGCCAAACCTCATGTCCTCACACTTCCTAACAGTCCTTCAGCTCCAATGTGACTCAAATCTACAAAACTAAGGTCCTTATCACAGTACGTCATTTCAGCGCCACACGAATCAAATACTTGCAATACAATAATGAAACGCTACAATGCATCACAATGTTCTTCTCTGTAAGTTCAGAAGCCTAAAATTTTCTGGCAATTCCGACAAAGATTGATATTACTTGAATATAAAACCTTAAAATTACAAAATTGAACGTTTTCTGTGATTTATAAAACATCCCGTCTTCCAACAAGTCATCAATTGCGCGAGGTGAAAAGCACATTACCTTGGGCAATCACTGAGGGCATACAGGCAATTCCAACTAGCAAGCATGCGATAAGGGAGAACGCCAGCGCTTCCATTCTGATCCAAACTCTGCTGATCAAAGGATTCAGGGAGAGGAGAAAAAAATCTGGCTGGAGATGAATCACTGTGAGAGCGACAAGAGCCAAACTCCTCACCTAGGTATTCAGTTCATCATGAGAATCACGCAAATAACCCCCCAATGCGGGTAAAAAAAGCCGCATACCTAAGGTAATATATAAAAAGGGGCTCTAATGCAGCACATGTCTTTCCAAGCTCTACTAAACTAACCGCCAATTATTTGCGCTCTCCAGAAGCATTTCTCCTTTCCTGTTGAAGTTTAAGTGACGCTCAGGCACCAATTAAATGATCACTCCAAAACCTCACGTGACCAGATTACTCTTACTGCATGTTTCCTCAATGCTGCCTTCAAAGCAACATTCTATCCTTGTGTAGCTCATTCCACTTACGATTAACCTCAACAGAGCTTAGCCTTCGTAGTTGAAGTAAAAACTAAAAGAGCAACAATTCGGCAAGCTGTTCTCACGAATGCTGCAACAGGGCACTGCGCTTGCTCTCTTTCAAACCAAAACGAAGAACCTCGGCACTGTCTCTGCGAAACATTCACAGACTTACAAAGTAAGTGTATACACAAACAAGTGGAGCTCCACGGCACAAGCAAAGCAGAAGATTCGAGCCAATCAGTTTGCCTTACCAAAGAGATCCTCACACGTATTACACCACTAAAACACACACTCGCAATGCACGCAATTGACAAACGAACACGTGAAGCGAAATGTACAACGAAGCAATGCTATGACTGATCACTAACCGTATGAGTAGAGAGAAAACAGAAACTTCATTCGCCTCTACATTGCAGATATCTACGTACAAATCTCACGAAACGGATTTCTCCATACAGCAAACGTCCACTACTACGTCCCAGACATACCACCGTCCACTCACACTCCGTGCGACCCGACGAAGCCATCCCAGCTCTAACGAGCAGCTGCTGCAGCCAACGACTTGGTGCTTACTGCAACTGACGGAATCCGAGCTGGTCGCGACCTCGTGGCGCGCATCGCATCGCATCGATCAGCCAACAAACTGAATGCAGCTCACATCCGCTCCAACAACCCCCTGAGGAGCAAATCACTCGTAAAACATGGTTCCCTCACCCACCACAATCCCTTCGGCCTTGAATGGCAACACCGAACGCATCGCCGCAGTCCAGGGGGGAGATTAATGTGCTGGAAATGCGACGTCGATATGAAGAAATAAAAAAGCTTCGGCGATCTGAAAAAGCTCCGACAAATTCAGCCAAAGCGAGATGGGGCGAGAGAGAGAGAGCGAGAAAGATGCGAAGCTGTTCGAAAGTCTCGGCTCGAGCCCAGGTCTCGATTGAGGTCCTCTGATGACGTGGATACGGGACGGGTGATCCTAACCAGCGGACCCGTTGCGAGATGGTTTGGTGACCCGTCCGGTCAGGTCTGGTACCGTGCCATAATTGCGGGGGGTGTGGCCCGTGGAGGCTTCCTTGTGGCATTTTGGGGAACTCTGCTCCCCGCTTTGATTCCATTTACTCCCTGAGTTTGCGTTGGGGAGCCTCTGAATGGTCCCCATGTGCATCGAGAGAACCTCTTTTTCATCCATCACCATCTATGATTCATTCAAATTTAGCTCATTCCAATACCTGCACTTGTTTAGCAGATTTTTCTTGCTACACTCTGCTTCGGAACTAGTGTATGAACTTGAATAGTGTGTATTTCTAATTAGGGTGAATTACATTATAAACAGGGCACTCATGTCCTAGAGGCACTTTGCAAATAGTATAATACGCATTGATTCCATATATCGGTGGAAATGGCAAGCCCTCTAGAGTCTCATAATATAGTGAAGTTATATATGAAGTTATAATATATTCATAATATAGTGAAGTTAATATATTCTGAGATTGGTCAAGCATGATAAAAAAAACATAATATAGTGAAGTTATATATCATAAAAAATCTCATAAAATAATATAGTGAAGTTATAATATATTCATAATATATTCACCAATCTCATAAAAAAAACATTTAAATATAAATTCAAATATATAAAAAAATTAATTTTTAGAGTATTGCTAATACAACCATAAATTTTTCTATTATTACCACAATCTCACCACTTATCTGACATATTTCTTTAGTTTTTAGTTTTTAGTTTTTTTTTTTTTTCATTTCAATAAAAAAAAATACTATGTTCAATCAAATGATTTGAAAGATATTGAACAAGAAAAAAAACTAAATAGTTTAAAAAATATTAAACAAAAATGGGATGTGCCGGACTATGAAGGGTTGTGGTGGCAATAGCAAAAACTATAGTGACATGAATAACACCCAATTTTTATACCTTCAAATAGACTGAAAAATTGATGATGTTCCACATGCAATAAATTATCATGTTAGCAAACTTATTACTAAATAGACACAAATAGGTGCAAATTCCATAAACCAAGAACCACTTTTTTTTTTGGGAGAATAGTTCCAATGGTAGAACAATGGTCTCCAAAACCACAGGTTAAGGGTTCGAAATATATCCAATATAAATCTACAATAGAAGCAAAGTTAGATGAATTTATTTTTTAAAATTTCATGTAAGGATATTAAAATTTTCTCCACTAAAAATAACAAAATAAATTCAAACCACACGGCTCACTTATGTTTGCCATGGATGCTATTATTGTAGTTTGATGGATACCTTTTGACTTGGTTCCAGTATCAAATTCATTCTGATATGACATTTATGGAAAATGTCTGAAACTGCAAAAGCCCTTTAAAATTTGGTGTTAGAAATCAATTTTTGCATTCAATACTTCTGAACGTGCAGAGAAAGAGGCCAGGAGTTCATTCATCCGAGGCCTTTAGTGGATGATACTCACAGCGGATGAATGATATTAGGATGAATATCGGCGTTCGTGGATGAAAATCTTCAATCGGAGCCTCATTCAAAATTATCGAAGTTAAGATTTTGATAAACACCCATAGCAGATAAAATTAATTTTATTCCATGGCAGGTTTAAATTTCAATTATCTTAAAAATAGCAAGTAAACATATATATATATATATATATATATATTCATTCGTTTAAGAAATAATGTAAACTTATGTACACCTTATGATCTAAATTTTTATGTGGATTGAAGCCTGGGCTTGACACACAAAAATAATTGTGACCAAGCTCAATTTCTGGATTTGCTTTTGTACAATTGTCTCTTCACTAGATTTGATTGTCTACCTTAAATTGTGTGAGTGATTGAGGTACTTTTTCTTTTCTATTCTTCTTTTTTTTTTTTTTTTTTTTTTTTTTTTGCAAACTACCAAGTTAAATATACCAATAAATTGGTGATCATCATATTTTAAAAACTGATATTAATGTATCGAATAAATTGGGTGAATCATTTATGTATGGTGTGATTTGTTTTCATTGTATGTCACCAATGTACAGTATGTTACATTCAACCACTTGCTAATTGAGTAAGTGGAATAGTGATTAGAATGCTTCTATTAATGCCCGTAGAATTTTTGGTACTGGCTTTAATTATTTGTTTACGTGAAAGATCTTATCCATTTAATGGTCTCTTATACATCCATTATAAAAATATTTTATAAAATTAGTTATCATAGACATATAAATAGGACCAAACAACTTTTGTTATTTCCATTTGGTAAACATGTTCTTAAGGAATTTAGGGCACTAATATTCTTTACCAAGTGCAACACTTTGATCATTTTTTTAAACCATGACCTTTCAAATGGGCCATGTTTTTAAAAATATATAATAAATAAATATACACATTATATCTTGTAAGTGAAAACAAAAAGCATTGTGGATGTTCTACATTTGTGCATGAGCCAAAGATCTTTGTTTGATTAATAACTTGTTATTTGGTTATTATTTTTATTTTTATTATTTTTATTTTTATTTTTATTATTTTTATTTATGTTTGAAAAAAAGAAATAAGAAGAGGAGTAATGTTTCTAATGTTTACAGAGGGTCTAACATATTATAATTTTTTTAATTATAAAAGTAAAGCCAAAATCCGTTCCATGTTTTGTTGTTTATTGATTTAAAACATGCAATAAAATTTGTATCCATCATTTCTACATGCTTATATGTATGTATATATATATATATATATATATATATATTATTATTATTATCACAAAATAAAGTATAACTATATTTTTAGTAAAATTCTTTGTTTAACCTTACACTACTAAAAATTAACATTTTAATATACTATCTTTGAATATTTTAAACATACAATGGACAATAGGTCATTTGATTATATGATAATATAAAAAGATTAAAAAATTTATAAGAAATTTAAGTACATATTGTGTCTTAAGACAATTGTATTCTTAAGAAATCCCCAAAAAACAGATATTGCACTGATTGAATATTTGTCAAACTGCTTCGTTTTACTAGGTAATATAAGTTAATTGAAACAAAAGAGTTATTTCTTGTTGAAGAACGGATACACATATTGGTTTTTATTTTATAATATTTTTGATAAATTGCATAAAAAAAGTTGAATGATTATTAAAAATCTTATTCTAATAATATGAAAAAATTATTTCTTGAAAAATATAGGACTTTTTTCACTATATATATATATATATATATATATATATATATTATTTGAATTATTTGAAAACTTTAAAGAAAATGGCACCACCCTTCAAAAACATCACTAAATACTAAGACTATTTTTTATAAATCTTGTGATCATTCTTTATTGCAGTGTTTTTTGAAGAATAATATCTAGTATATTAGATATTGTTACCATTTTTATATTATAAATATAATATATTGTGTGCATATTTTAAGATTTTTTTTCTCCAAAAAGAATAAATACTGTGGATTCATATACTTTATATGGTCGTTGAGCTAATTTCATCTTTTAATATATCCTAAAAGCTTCTCTAGAATATCATACCATATAAGTTTATTCCTTTTACTTTTGTCACATTTCTAATGTAGTTTCTATTCTATAATTAAATTTTATGATTTTTTTGTAAAAGTTTAAAATTTCTCAAAAAATATTGTTAGCTTGTATTTGATAATTATTTATTTTGCTCAGTAGAGGCTTTTATTTTATTTTGTATAACTTATATATATTTTTTAACATAATATAATCCAATTTATTAATTTTGTGTGTGTGTATGTATATATATATATATATATATATAATTTATTTGAGTATGGTTTGTTATCACTATTTATTATTATTTTTATCATTATTATTACACATATATTTTTCTTGTCACTTTTGGCAAAAATTGCTTTAAATCATATACTGATTTTTATTTATTTATTTATTTATTTTTATATATATATTATCAAAAGTTTTTGAACTTCTTTTCAACAAATTTTCAAATAAAGCAATGAAATATAAAGAAAAAATGCTCACAAATCCTATTTGAATTGTTCTATTAGAATTTTATAAAATATGAGAGCATAAAAATAATTATACTTACTGAAAAAATTCTTGATAATATTATTTTCTTTGTATTATATTTTTCTAACAAACCATTCTTAGTTTCATTTATTTATTAACAATCTTTAAAAAGATGTACTTTTAAGATTGACCTGCTTTTTTTTATATGTCAATTGAAATTCTTATAACTTTTGTTAACTTGTTTTGATGGTTTGAAAGGTTTTGTCAAGAATTACCAAGTTGGACATTGTTTGATCCCTCAACTGTTATTTGTAAGTTTTCTAAAACCATTAAAATATTTCTAAAAATTGTAATACAATTTTTTAAAAGATGTTGTGAGTTTATTTATTTTTGAAATTTATTTTTTATAAATATCTACTTAGTCTAATCAAATAAAATAGTTAATGATTTATTTCAAGATTATTATATAAGATACAAAGAAATAATATTATTATTAATATTATAATTTTTCTTTTTTAATTCTATTTGGATTATGGAGCAAAGTTTAACATTGGTGTATTTCTTTTAGAAAGTTGTGGAAACTACTTAATTAGAATTTATAGATAGATTGTAAAAGTAAAAATTCATTGAAAGAAAATAATAAATATGAAGAATTATTTTAAAACATCGACTAAATTATTAATAATACCCATTTTATTAGAAGAAATTATATTATTATATAAAAACGCATCATCAGAAATAATGAGGATAGAAAAAATAAATTGTATTGGAATATGTAGAATTATTTAAAATTATACTAGTTCTATAATGCAGTTTGAAATATTTGAGACAGATGTGACGATTTTTTTTATTTTTTATTTTTCATTTTTTTGTAAGGTATTATCAATTAAAGCTTGGTG